ATGAAGCCAACATCACCCTAATACCAAAACCAGGCAAAGACCCCACCAAAAAAGAAAATTACAGACCAATATCCCTGATGAATGTAGATGCAAAAATACTCAATAAAATATTAGCAAACAGAATTCAACAGTATATCAAAAGGATCATACACCATGACCAAGTGGGGTTCATCCCAGGGATGCAAGGATGGTACAACATTCGAAAATCCATCAACATCATCCACCACATCAACAAAAAGAAAGACAAAAACCACATGATCATCTCCATAGATGCTGAAAAAGCATTTGACAAAATTCAACATCCATTCATGATAAAAACTCTCAGCAAAATGGGAATAGAGGGCAAGTACCTCAACATAATAAAGGCCATATATGATAAACCCACAGCCAGCATTATACTGAACAGCGAGAAGCTGAAAGCATTTCCACTGAGATCGGGAACCAGACAGGGATGCCCACTCTCCCCACTGTTATTTAACATAGTACTGGAGGTCCTAGCCACGGCAATCAGACAAAACAAAGAAATACAAGGAATCCAGATTGGTAAAGAAGAAGTTAAACTGTCACTATTTGCAGATGATATGATACTGTACATAAAAAACCCTAAAGACTCCACTCCAAAACTACTAGAACTGATATCGGAATACAGCAAAGTTGCAGGATACAAAATCAACACACAGAAATCTGTAGCTTTCCTATACACTAACAACGAATCAATAGAAAGAGAAATCAGGAAAACAATTCCATTCACCATTGCATCAAAAAGAATAAAATACCTAGGAATAAACCTAACCAAGGAAGTGAAAGACTTATACTCTGAAAACTACAAGTCACTCTTAAGAGAAATTAAAGGGGACACTAATAAATGGAAACTCATCCCATGCTCATGGCTAGGAAGAATTAATATCGTCAAAATGGCCATCCTGCCCAAAGCAATATACAAATTTGATGCAATCCCTCTCAAATTACCAGCAACATTCTTCAATGAATTGGAACAAATAATTCAAAAATTCATATGGAAACACCAAAGACCCCGAATAGCCAAAGCAATCCTGAAAAAGAAGAATAAAGTAGGGGGGATCTCACTCCCCAACTTCAAGCTCTACTACAAAGCCATAGTAATCAAGACAATTTGGTACTGGCACAAGAACAGAGCCACAGACCAGTGGAACAGATTAGAGACCCCAGAAATTAACCCAAACATATATGGTCAATTAATATTTGATAAAGGAGCCATGGACATACAATGGCAAAATGACAGTCTCTTCAACAGATGGTGCTGGCAAAACTGGACAGCTACATGTAGGAGAATGAAACTGGACCATTGTCTAACCCCATATACAAAGGTAAACTCAAAATGGATCAAAGACCTGAATGTAAGTCATGAAACCATTAAACTCTTGGAAAAAAACATAGGCAAAAACCTCTTAGACATAAACATGAGTGATCTCTTCTTGAACATATCTCCCCGGGCAAGGAAAACAACAGCAAAAATGAGCAAGTGGGACTACATTAAGCTGAAAAGCTTCTGTACAGCGAAAGACACCATCAATAGAACAAAAAGGAACCCTACAGTATGGGAGAATATATTTGAAAATGACAGATCCGATAAAGGCTTGACGTCCAGAATATATAAAGAGCTCACACGCCTCAACAAACAAAAAACAAATAACCCAATTAAAAAATGGGCAGAGGAACTGAACAGACAGTTCTCCAAAAAAGAAATACAGATGGCCAAGAGACACATGAAAAGATGCTCCACATCGCTAATTATCAGAGAAATGCAAATTAAAACTACAATGAGGTATCACCTCACACCAGTAAGGATAGCTGCCATCCAAAAGACAAACAACAACAAATGTTGGCGAGGCTGTGGAGAAAGGGGAACCCTCCTACACTGCTGGTGGGAATGTAAATTAGTTCAACCATTGTGGAAAGCAGTATGGAGGTGCATCAAAATGCTCAAAACAGACCTACCATTTGACCCAGGAATTCCACTCCTAGGAATTTACCCTAAGAACGCAGCAATCAAGTTTGAGAAAGACAGATGCACCCCTATGTTTATCGCAGCACTATTTACAATAGCCAAGAATTGGAAGCAACCTAAATGTCCATCGGTAGATGAATGGATAAAGAAGATGTGGTACATATACACAATGGAATACTACTCAGCCATAAGAAGTGGAAAAATCCAACCATTTGCAGCAACATGGATGGAGCTGGAGAGTATTATGCTCAGTGAAATAAGCCAAGCGGAGAAAGAGAAATACCAAATGATTTCACTCATCTGAGGAGTATAGGAACAAAGGAAAAACTGAAGGAACAAAACAGCAGCAGAATTACAGAACCCAAAAATGGACTAACAGGTACCAAAGGGAAAGGAACTGGGGAGGATGGGTGGGCAGGGAGGGATAAGGGGGGGGAAGAAGAAGGGGGGTATTAAGATTAGCATGCATGGGGGGGAGGGAGAAAGGGGAGGGTGGGCTGCACAACACAGAGAGGACAAGTAGTGACTCTACCACATTTTGCTAAGCTGATGGACAGTAACCGTAATGTGGTTGTTAGGGGGGACCTGATATAGGGGAGAGCATAGTAAACATAGTATTCTTCAGGTAAGTGTAGATTAAAAATTTAAAAAAAAAAAAGAAAGAAAGAAAGAAAAGGGGGATTACTCCTTAACAGGATAAAACTATTGGTAAATCAAAGATCAACGCATGCTTTAAATATCCTTAATGTTGATCACTTAAAGGGTGTCAGATGATCAGCTATGGAGGTACTCTTTTCTGATAATATTCCTTTCTCTTAATTAAAAAAAAAAAAAAAAAGCAGTTACTGTGTGCTGACCTCCAATGAGTTCTGCACAGTGGTATAGAGGGCATGTCAAAGTGTGGGCAAAGGGTCTGTTTGTTTCTACGCAGAAGATCAAGGCCTAGCTTGGATACCCAGAAAATGAACTAAGATACGATATGAGGAGGAGCTTCCGGCATCAGCACTCTCTGGAGGACTCGTGCCGGGGGATGATCATCAAAAAGCCTCCACAGGGATCCGGACGATGCTGCGGTTGTGGCTGCATCCAGCCCACCGTCTCCTGGACTTGCCATAAGAAGGAGGAGGGAGATGTCTAGGCTGGCATGTGCATACAGTGAGACAACGAATTTGACTGGATCTGTACTGTTGGAACTCAACCAGGAGTTGGGAGGGGTGCAAGTTGTAGCACCCCAAAATCTCATGACTATAGACTATCTATGGTTAAAAGAACATATGGGATGTGAACAGATCCCAGAAATGGGCTGCTTTAATTTGTCTGATGGTTCAAGTACAGTTGGAAAATATCCATCATATCATAGATAAATTTTCACAAATGCCTAGGGTGCCTAAATGGTTTTCTTGGCTTCACTGGAGATGGCTGGTAATTATAGATTTGCTTTGTTTATGTCACCGTATTCCTATTATGTTAATATGTGTGTGCAAATTAGTTAGTAGTTTAAAACCTATACATACTTAAGGTACTATACAAGAAGATATGTCAAAGAAATAATCAATCCTCCCAAGTTTCCTTCATATGCTACATCTATAGCTTTTCTTCTTCCTTCCTAATTACAACCCTTAAATAGAATTCGTGCCTCATATCGAATTTACCGAGTATCATAATTCCTCCAGGTGGTAAAGATACCTCGAGACAAGTGCTGGGCATAGAAGCCACAGGGCATAAATCTGCAAAGAAGTAAAAAGCTAACCTTTGCAAACAATATGGCTTCTCTCTCACTTACCAACTTTACATTTCCCTGTATGGCCCCGGAAGATGACTGGTTAGCCAGAGACGGGTAAGATTCCTCAAGGGAGGAACAACCTAAGACAGGCACAGTCGCAGGGGGGCCATCAGGTGAGAATTTGGGGATCAACAGAGGTGAGGCTCAGAACCTCACCCCCCCTGCTTTGAGAGAAATCTTCTGCATCCGTGGATGTCTTGCTGCCCTTGTCTAGCCTGGATTAATACTTAGTCCATAGGCACACACCTGATCATCTGATCATCTACATTTGCCTTCTTACAGCACTAAACTATGTTTTCTACCTTTATCTTGCATCTACCTACCACTTCAGCATTTTATTAAAAATAAAAATAATAATAATAATAGGAGAAATGTGGGATCAACATATAAATCAAGTACAAAAATCAAATGAATATTCATATTTGACCTGATGGTTTATAGGTCATATTGCATGATCAAAACCGAAAGTTTCTGTGATGAATGCCCTTGTACTGTTCACCATGTAAGAATTTATTCACTATGTAAGAATTCGTTCACCATGTAAGAACTTGTTCGTTATGCTTCAGAAGATTGGAGACTGACGAGAATTAGGCTTGAGATGGATTAATGATTGTACATTGAGCATTGACCCCCCTATACTGAATTTTATTGTTGTTAACAACCATTTGATCAATAAATATGAGAGATGCCCTCTCAAAAAAAAAAAAAAAGAAGAAGATGCTTACAAAATTAATTATTTGAGCAAGTATTACCTTATCTGGACTGGAAACCATACCTTCTCTTAGTTGATTTAAAAAGCAAGAAATAGACTAACAGCAAAAGTCTCACTTCTCTGACTTTGAGGTAAATATGGATTAAACAATAGATTTATTAAAATTACCCCAGAATCAGCTGAGTGAGAAAGCACTGTCAGAAACAAACAGAGCTTTGAAAGAGGAAGGAGATCTCACAACTATGTTCTCAGTCTTTTACTTTAAAGACTATGAAATTCATGTCAGGGTCAAGCCAGTGCTACTTCAAAGAGAATATTCTATAAACCTGGGCATTTGACAGTTGACCTAAAATATAAACTAAAAAAAAAAATACTAAGCTCTCTTTTAAAAAGACAATTCAGTTCCCATAAATTCTAAAAATCCTGTTTGTTTTCCTCTAAATAAGTACATTATTTAATGGAATGAACCAAAGTGGAAACATCAAATAGAGATCAAAAAAATACATAAATGAGGATACCTTGATTCCTGGGCAGTGAGCAAAAAAAGCTTCTGGACTCTGAGAATGATAGAGAGCCCCATGGCCAACACAACCCCAAGGGGACCGAATGGTGAGGCTTCCACAATTAAAAAGATCTCCAGAGCGATAGCGATACTTGGCAGCTTCATTAACAATCTGAGAGAGGAAAAGAGAGGGGACATGAGTCCTTTCTTCCCATCTACTTTCTTATCATTTTATTACATCTCTAAATATATGCTCCTAATAACACAGTTCTTAATGTGCTAGCTCCAAGGTAACAAAAAGTTTCTAAGATAGGGAGTGAGTTTGGAGGATACATCAATACTTCATGGACTTCACAACCTTAGAAGTGTCCACTTACAATAAAATGCAATCTTCTTACCTGATCAAATGCAGGGAAAATATAATCTGCAAACTGAATTTCTGCAATGGCAGTAGCTCCCGTGACTGCAATTCCAATTCCAAACCCAACAATTCCTTGTTCACACAATGGGGTATTAAACACTCTATCTTTTCCTTTTAAAAAAAAAAATAAAGTCATCTTAATATAACAAATGAGAGTAACATAATACACAATATAACTGAAAATTCAGTGAGTTAACAATGGTGAGACAGAAGAAAAAAAGCATAGACAAAGGAAATAGAAAATAACTAGTATGATGACTGCTTTAAGGACATAGTATTATATTAACTAGTAATTATATTAAGTAGCCTAAGTGTTCCAATTAGAAGAAAGATTGTCATACTAAGATAAAAGAAAGCAAAACTCAACTACTTAAAACATTCAAAGAGTAAAGATAACAGAAAAGTTTCAAGTAAAAAAGAAGGGAAGAAATTTAAAATGAAAAACCTAACCAAAGAGAGTTGACATCACTATGTTAAGAGGAGACAAGGTAGACTATAAGGGACAAGGCATTACCAGAGAAGAAGAGGCAAAATGTGTACTGTTAAAGGGTTCAATTCACAAGGAGGACATAATTATAAATTTATATTCACATAACAATACAGGCTCCAAATAAATAGGAAAAATTAACAGAATTAGAAGGAAAAATGGATAAATTCCCAATATAGTGGGAGATTTTAATGTGCCAATCTCACTAACAGTGAAAAAGCATACCAAAACAAAAAGGGAAAAACTATAGTTGAACATGATTAACAAACATGACTTAACTGACATTCACAGGACTGTGCACCTGAGAGCTAAAAACACAAAACCTTTTCAAGTAAACAGAACATTGACATTAATTGACCATAGACAGGGCAATCCAATCTCAGCAAGTTTCAAAGGATAAAAATCATCGAGTTTATTCATTCTGACCATGTTGGAAGCTAGAAGTCATTAACAAAAAGATAATTAGAAAATCTTTATGTTAGAAAAAAATTTTCAATATATGTCTAAGCAACCTATGCCTCAAGGAAGAAATCAGAATCTAAGTTAAAAAGTATTTTGAACAGAATGAGAATGAAAACTAGGCATCACAACTCACTGAGGTCTTGAACTCAGTAATGGTAGTTTGTTTTGTTTTGTTTTGTTTTGTTTTTCCCCAAACTAACACCCATGTCTGATAACTATCTACTCTGGACAAAATAAAACAGCTACTTAACAAGCAATAGAGAGGCAAAAAGCAGGCCAAACCCAAAGGGGGCTTGACCTTGATAAAAAGGAAGCACAGTGAATGAGCATGACATTTACAAGGCTTGCACCCTGAGAGGTGTCCCCAGTCTCTATGACATGGACATGGGACAGCTAGAATTCAGACAGACTACTCAGTCTCCTGGGCTTGAGGTGTCAGAGAACAGAGTCTGGGATTGCCAATGGCTAGAAATTGAGAGACTAAATCCCTAAATGAAGAGCACTACTTGGGGGCACCCCAAATCAGATGCATAAACTCTGCTCAGATCTTTGGCTGACCCCTGTGCCTGCAAGAGAAACCAAGAACCCAACAAATAACAGCTCAAACTGCAAAGAGTTGAGCAAAGACTTCAGCTCTACATACTGAAGAGGAGACAGAATTTGGAGTCTGAGACTCTCCAAATTTCAAGTGTTTGCTGAACACTTCAGACTTTACACTGAATCAACAAGGTACAATGCTATTAGCATACAATTCCCATTTGAAATCTCACTACCTTTTAGCCAACATCAGCATGTCAAGAAAAATTCTAATTTCAGAAGCCAGATGAACACAAGCTCTGGCCAGGTGACCAAACATTTGGAGACAGATCTGGGATTCATAGTTGCGGTTTCCATAATCCAAGTATACCAGTTCTTCTTGATGCACAGAATTCACTTGCGGCTCAGTCATTCCTTTTGAGTAAGAATCGTCAATAGGGCAGGTGCTGGTAAATGCCAACTAGACACATCCTGTAGTTTGCACTCAAAAAGCAGCTGCAAAAACTGAAAGCATGATTCATACTCATCACATCTCTGACTATCTTCTGAAATTGGACCTCTGTCCCTCATCAGTTCCCTATTTGGGTACAAGTAGCTTGATAATTTCTGAAAACCTATGACTCCATTGAATTCAGAACAATTCAGTGGTAGAAAATGAATATAGAGTCCAGCTGCCACCTGTGGAATCCACATCCCTAGACTAACTGAACCACCTTAACCAGATAAACAGGGTTCTTATTTATTACATGCTGCTTCAAGTTTCCTGGATTCAGATATTCTTCATGTCAGTTAATATGGTTTTTGCTTTTAGAAGGCAGAAAAGTTTTTCAGAACCCTTATTCCAAAACATGCTTAGTTTGAGGAAATAGCACAGCAACTCTGACAAATTTCTAAGACCTAATAAACTGCTTCAGTAAAAGCTAAATGTTAAAAATCAGTTTTTATTTTCTCCAAAAGGGTAATGATTGAGAGAAAGAATACACATCAAATTCACAATAGTGATGACTTTATCTATGTTATAATGCAATTAACTCACATAAAGTTCATAAACACAGTATCCCAATGGGTAAAATAATACATACAATGATTGCTCCATCAGCCAAGATAGATCTGGGTGGAAGTGCTATCATCACAACTTACTCAAGTCCCTAAGCTCAGTTTCCTACCTGTAATGGAATACTCACAATACTGATAATTCGCCCTTCCCCAATGTTCTAAAGTACCTAATATTGCATAGACACTATTCTAGACATAGAGGACATAGCAAACCAAACAGAAAAAAAATACCTATCCTCATGGCATTTATTCTAGTGAGGGGAAACAGACAATAAAAACAAAATAAATGAGTAAAATATATAATGTTAATGATGACAAGTGCTCTGGAGAACAGTAAAGCAGGGAATAGGTGATCAGGAGTAGGAAGTGGCCCTACTGTAGTTTCAAGTGGGGAAATCATGAAGGTGACACCCAAGGAAAGAGCTGAAGGAAGTGAGCAAGTGTTACATGCATTTATCTGAGGGAATGAATGCTCCAGGCAAAAGGATCAACAAGGGCCAAGGTCCTGGGGTATGAGTATGTTTATCATGTCAAAGGAAAGGCAGGAAGTCAAGAATGCGTGGTCAGGAGTAAGAGAAATAGTGACAGAAGGTAAGCTGAAGAGTTAAGAGGATGGGATAGAGAAGTGGCACAGATCAGACAGGGCCCTATAGGTCACTGTAACCACTCTGACTTCTACTATGATAATGTGGGAGACACTAAGTAGCTAAGTGAGACAGGAAGCCACTGAACAAAGTCATGCTGTTGTCTGAACTGCATTTCAACAGTATCGCACTAGCTGGTATTTGGTGAATAGCCTGTAAATGGGCAAGGGTGGACACAGCAACACTGATTACAGGATACTGCAATAATGCCAGTAAGAGATGATGATACATAATTGCAGAAAAGGTGTGAGACTCTGAATATAGTCTAAAGATCCAGTCAGAAGAATCTGCTGTTGAAATGGATATGAGTATGAGTCAGAAAAATGCAAAAGGATGGAAGATTCAAAGGCTTTTGGCCCAAGCAACCTGAATAAAAGAACTGCCACTGACTAAGAAAAGGAGACTATTAAGAATCATGTCGTGATGAGGTATCAGGAGTTCAGTTCTGAAGATAAGTTTGAGATGCCTTAAGACATTAAGATAAAGCTGTTGAGACTGCAGGATATATATGAACTGAAAGTCTTCAGCATAAAGATGACTTTACAAAATATGAGACTAGATGAAATCACCACATAAATTTAAATAGGTACATAGAAAGAAGAGATTCAATATTAAAAAGAGGTGAAAAATAATCAGCAAAGTTGAGAAGGAAAAAAAAGCCAGAATTTGGAGGAAAACTAGGATAATGTGCTGACCTAGAGGCCCAATGAGGACAGTGTCTCTGAGAGAAGACAGTGACTGACTTGTGCTGCTCGCTGCCAATTCAAAGTGAGATGAGGGCTGAGAATTTTGTAAGTGGCAACCTTGGTGGTGCCTACAAAGTAGGAGAGAGGAAGAAAACAAAAGCCTAGTGCAAGAGGGAAGAGAAGAGAAACTGGAGACTGTGAGTAATGACAATTATTCAGAGAAATTTTGCTATAAAGGGAAGAAGACAATGGGAGCAACAACTAACTGGAGAGGAAAACGGGATCAGCAGAGGGTTTTGTTTTTTTAAGATGGAAAAAATAAAATATTTGTGGGCTAATAGGAATGAACAATAGACAGGAAATGACCACGGAGAAGACTCATGAAATGGAGAGAAAACTGCATTTCTGAAAAGGTGACAGAAGAGAAAGGGGTCTAGTGCAGAGAATTGCCAGGAAACTTCCACTTAACCAGCATGCAGGAAGAAAGAGTGTGTGGCCACTGACAGTGGCACGTGGCTACACAGGGCCATGAGAGCTTGCCAAAAGTGCTCTGATTTCCACTGATCTTCTTGGTAAAATATGAAACTAAGTTATTAGCTAAGAGTAAGGACAGGGGAGGCAATGGTGAGGAGTGGAAAGTATGAAATAGTCATCCAAGAAAAGGAAGGGCGAATGGCTGGGGAACACGCAGCATGGTAGTGGACAGCACAAGTGGCCCCTGGAAATATCTAGTCCAAAACCTAAAGTGAGAAAAGATGGCAAGATGCCATGTTTTGCTCCAGCAAGATTCAGCCCAGGGTTTAGAATTTAAAGATGGATTTAATTTACAATTGGCTTTTGCCAAGCAAAAAATGAAATGAATTTAAACTGGATATAAAGGAGTGAAAGACAGTGGAATTCATGGATCTTAAAAATCAACAAGGTCAAAAGATTATTGGAAAGGAGGTACTACAAACAGTAAGCTGGGGAGGTGTCAGGTGGAGGTCACAACTGGAGGTACTTCAAATTGAAATTATGCAGTTACCAATAATGACAAAGTCAGGGATTATGACTGTAAAGTGAGAAGCTGAGGTGGAATGGAGGACAGAAATCATCAGAGGAGAGAGGGATAAAAAAACTGAGAAGCTGGAAATTCGAGGAGATGGTCGCTGTGCACACTGACAGACGCACTAGAGAGACGGGCAGTGGGCTGGGCGAGTTGGTGGGGTGGGGGGGGGGGTCAGTAGATGGCAAGGAAGG